AAAAAAAAAAAAAAAAAAAAAGACCCAAATCAAACTTCTAGATATGAAAACTACAAGGTCTGAAATGAAAAATACACTGGATGGGATTAATAGCAGATTAGAATATGCAGAAGACTAGTGAACTTAAACACATAGAAATAAAAACTATCCAAAATGACAGAGAGAAAAAAGACACACACACACACACACACCCCAAAATTAATAGAGCATCAGTGGAACAATTTCAAGTAATCCAATATACATGTATTTGGAGTTCCCAAAGTATACGAGAGAGAGGAAAAGATGGAAAAAATTAATGGCCAAAAAAATTCCAAATCTGATGAAAAATGTAAACCCAAATATCCAAAAAACTAAATGAACCCCAAGCACAGGAACATGATGAAAATTATGCTAAGGCACAACATAATCGAATTGCTTAAAACTAGTGATAAAAAAGAAAAGTTTTAAACCAGTCAGAACAAAAAGGCATATTATGTACAGAGGATGTACGAAGTTCTGCAAAGAGATTATATAAAGATAGTATGTAGGCAGACTTCTTACTGAAAACAATGCAAGCGAGAAGACAGACTTTAATACATCTTTAAAGTACTGAACAAAAAAATCTGTTAACCTAGAATTCTATACCCAGCAAAAATTCCTTTCAAAAATAAAAACAAAATAATTTCCAGTTTCATTTCAAAATCATTTCAGAAAAGCAGAAAAAAATTCATCACCCACTGACCTTAACTATAAGAAATGTTCAAGTACTTCAGGCAAAAGGTAATGGTACTATAGAAAATTGGATCTATGCAAAGGAATGAAGAACATCAAAAATGGTAACCACAGCCCTGGCTGGTATGGCTCAATTGGTTGGAAAGTCATCCTGTCTATATAGATAGGCCTTTTCGGGACATTCATATAAATAGAGCCATACAATTATGCTCTTTTGTGTCTGGCTTTTTTTCAGTTAGCTAATTTTTTAAAGATTCATCCGTGTTGTAGCATGCATCAGTATTTCATTTCTTTTTAATGTTGAATAGTATCCCATTGTAGTATTGATTGACATCTGGGTTGTTTTTACTTTTGGGCTATTAGGAATAAGGCTTCTATCAACATTTATGTAGAAGTCTTACTGTAAATGTATGTCTTCATTTCTCTTGGTTAGATAATTAGGAGTGGAATTTGTGTTGTACAGTAAATTTGTTTTATCTTTTTAAGAAACTGCCAAACTGTTTTTCAAAGTGGCTGTACCATTTTGCATACCCAGCAACAATATATGAGGATCCCTGTTTCTTCATATCTTTGCCAACATTTGTTGTTATCTGTCCTTCCGATTATAGTCATTCTAATGGGAATGAAGTGGCATCTCATTGGGGTTTAATTTGCATTTCCCTAATGACTAACGATGTTGAGCATCTTCTTATATGCTTATTAGCCATTCATATATCCTCTTTGGTGAAAGGTCTATTCAAATCTTTTGTCAATTTTGTAATTGGGTTGTTTGTCTTAATACTGAGTTGTAAGAGTCCCTTATATATTCTGGATACAATTCCTTTATCAGATACAGGCTTTGTAAATATTTTCTCTCATTCTGTGGCTTATCTTTTCATTCTAATAGTGTCTTTTGAAGTGCAAGTTTTTAATTTTGATGGAAGTCTAATTTATTAGTTATTTTTTCTTTTATGAATTGTGCCTTTGGTGCATTGACATTAACATTTATATAGCTCTGCACTGCCTCCAAAATATATCCAGAATCCAGCACTTCCCTCCACCACTACTGCCACCACCCTGGTCCCAGCCACTGTCCTCTGTAGCCTGATGAAGACAATCCTCCTGGCTTCTGCCCTTGCCCCCTGCAGTCTCCACAACACAGCAGAGTGAGTCTTTAATACTTAAAGCCAGATCCTGTTACTCCTTTTAAAACCATCAAATGATTTCCACCTCATTCTGGCTAGAGGCCAAGTCCTTAAAATGGCCTACAGGCCTCTCCCTCTGGGGAGCACACCCGCCCACGCCTTTCCCTCCTTAGAGCTGCCTTTCTCTGTCCCAGGCTCCAAGGGCTGTTCCACTACATCTGTAACTTTCTAAATAAACCTCCTTTTATAATTTGGTGGGGAGAAAATAAGGCCAACAATCTCCCCCCACCCCCATTCCTATATCACCCCTCCTCCACTCCTCCAGTTCCCTTTCCCCCCAAGTCTGAATGGCTTGCTCCCCCACCTCCTTCAGGGCCTTGCTGACCTGTTAACTCCTCAGTGAAACCTTCCCTGACCACCCTATGCTTTATTTTTCTCTTGTTTAACCCCACCCATGAGAATGTCTTCTCCATGAGGCCCGGGCTCTGAGTGTTCACAGCTCTCCTCACCCCTTAGGACAGCCCTAGCTCTTCGTGTGAGCTTACGAAATATTTGTTGAGTGAACAAATGACATTCCTTAACGTCATCCTCACAATGAGCTTTTGAAGAGGGCATCATTACAGAGCTGAGGAAGCAGGGACGCAGCCAGGTTAAGTAACACGAAACGAACACTGGACCTGAGGATATCTGTTGAGTCAACGAACGACTGATGAACTGAACGAGTCAACGAACAGGAAGGATTGTGTTTGAACATTAATGATGCCTTTGGCCCTCACCTCTGGGTCAATCACGTTCCAACTTTTGCTGCTGAATAGAAACATTTCTGGAGTTTTGGAGGCTCTGTTCAAAGGGCCACACATGAGCTGCCCAGAAAAGAAGCCCTGATCCCTAAGCACCAGGAACACATAGACACAGACTGACCTGCTCCGCCCAGTTCACTGGGAAGAGGGGTGGGGCAGGGCCTCCGCAGGCAGGTCAGTCCATGCAAATAGAAAGAATTCAGCCTTAACTCAGCCTTGCAGACAAGGTCAGCTGGAAAGACCAGGGCCTTCTAGCCTATGAAATACAAAAATACAAATATGAAAATGTTTATAGCAGACACACATATACCCACAAATACACCCTAGATTCCTCCATTTTACAAAAACATCGTCTTTCTTTCTGGTTCTGATTTATTCTCCTGCGCTACAGAGGGTGGCTTAGTGTTACAGGGAAAGGCACAAAAAACCTTGGTGAGCAGCCCCAGCAGGCGCTCCATGGGCCATTTCTACATCACATGCAGTCCTTCTCCATGGCTTCCGCCAACTGTTCTGTTGGGTTTTTGTTTTGTTTTGATCTCAGCCACCAAAATATCTTCAGCTTAAGGCTAAATCCCATCCATTCTTCAAGACTTGACTCAAATTCTACCCATTTGTACTTTTTTTTAAAAGAGTTTAAAATAAGCACCTATTGTGTACTGACTCTGGGAATACAGAAATGAAGACAACCCTGTCCCTCTTCTTACAGGCACCCCAAACTTAACAGTGATCCCACTTCTAGGAATATATCCTAAGAAACCCAAAACAGCAATCAGAAAGAACTTATGCACTCCTGTGTTCATAGCAGCGCAAGTTACAATAGCTAAGGTCTCGAAACAGCCCAAGTGCCCATCAGTAGATGAGTGGATAAAAAAGCTGTGGGACATTCACACCATGGAATACTATTAAGCTGTAAAGAAGGATCTTGCACCCTTTGAGATGGCACGGATGGAACTGGGGAGTATTATGCTAAGCGAAATAAGCCAGGCAGAGAAAGACAAGTATCACATGACCTCACTCAGGTGCGGAATCTAATGCACAAAATAAACTGATGAACTAAATAGATCCAGAGACATAGAAGCATGGGACAGGCAGAGGAATCTCAGAGGGAAGGTGGGGGGGGAGTGGGTAGGGAGGGATTAATCAAAGAATTTATGTGCATAAACGCATAACCCAGGGACACAGACAATAGTAGGGGGAAGGCCTGGGGATAGGGCAGATGTGGGGTGGGGATCAATGGGGGGAGAAGGGGGGACATCTGTAATACTTTCAACAATAATGATAAATTTTAAAAAAACAAAGACTTTAAAATAAGCACCTCCCGGCCGGGCGTGGCTCAGGGGTTGAGCATCGACCTAGGATCGAGGAAATCTCGGTTCAATTCCTGGTCAGGGCACACGCCTGGGTTGGGGCCCGGTCCCCAGTAGGGGGCGTGCAGGAGGCAGCCGATCAATGACTCATCATTCATGTTTCTATCTCTCTCTCTCCCTCTCCCTTCCTCTCTCTGAAATCAATAAAGATATATTTTTAAAAAATAAAAATAAAATAAGCACCTATTATGTACTGACTCTGGGGATACAGAAATGAAAACAACCCTGCCCCTTTACTTGACAATTACAGGCACCTCAAACTCAACAAAAGCCAGCTCTTGGTTCCCCCCTAAATCTGCGCCCCCTCAGTGTCCCCGCCACAGGACAGGCACCAGCAGTCATCGGGTGTGCGGTCGTTGTCGGTTCTTCTCCCTCGCAGCCCACACCCAGGCCTCCTGGCCTTACTTGCAAAACTGCACCCTCAGTTCTACTCTTCCTGCCGCCTCTGTCAGGCCATCCCACTTCAAGCCCAGCGCCCTTCACCTGGACCGCTGCAACCCCTCCCTCCAATCCGTCCTGCAGACAGCAGCCGGAGCGATCTTGCTGCTACAAGGCAAAGCTGAACTATTCACCGCGCTATTGAAAACCCTTTAAGAGCTTCCCGTGCCCTCACTGAATCGCAAGTCCCATGCCCTGGCCTCCCAGGCCCGTCCGCGCTCCACCCCATCCCGCCTCATTCTTCCTTTGCTCTCCGGGCTCCAGCCATACTGGCCTTTAATCTGTTTCTCTAAAAGGATCTATGCTGCGCCAGCTGGTTTGGCTCAGTGGTTAGAGCGTCGGCCCGAGGATTGAAGGGTGTCCCGGGTTCGATTCTGACCCAGGCTGGGGAGCGTGTGGAAGACAGCCCATCCAAGACACAATGATGTTTCTTTCTCTCTCCCCCTCCCTCCTGCTCTCTTTGAAAAAGCAATGGGAAAAATACTCTCAGGTGAGGATTAAAAAAATAATAATATAAAAAACAAAAGGAGCTATGCTCCCTTCTGCCTCACGGAAGCCTAACTCCCACACGAGTGGGGGTCCTGCACTGCCCGCGTCGCATCGGGCACTCCTCCTGCAGAGTATCGTAACTTTGTAGTTGTATGTGTGTAAGATTTCAGTGATTTATGTCTGTTTCCTAAGCCTCTAAGAGCATAATTATAATTTGGCCCTGTGCAATGCCTGGTTCATAGCAAGTGTTCAATAAACATTCCTGGACTACTGTTTGTGGAAAGAATGGGTAAATGAAGCTACGTGAATTGCAGTTTGCATAGTAGCTAAGCGATCAGGCTCTGGAGTCACACAGATCTAGGTTCAAATCTAGATTCTGCTCCCTTCCTAGCTATGTGACCAGGTGAGCTGCTTGACCTCTCTGAAACTTGGTCTTCAGCTGCAAAAGGAGATAATACCACAAGCTACTACACAGGGCTGTTGGAGGAATTACATTTTAACAATGCAGGGAAAGTGCACGTCTAAGTGCACAGTAATGCTGACAGGTATCACTATAGCACGTAACAGGTATACCACGTGTTTGTTGGATTTAAATCTTTAGGACCACGTAGGAGCTCTGACAGCAGTAACTGCAGAGAATGCCTGGAAAATGTGCCAGAGGCTAGAAAGAGCCATCCCTGGGAAGGAGACTGGGACACAGGTCTCCAGGAGGAGATTGAGGAGCACCCCAGTTATGCGGCCAAAAACCTCCCCCCAGGTCAAAGTCAGCCCAGGTTCTAGGTGACCCTTACTTAAAAACCTTGTTGCCCTGGCCGGTGTTGCTCAGTCAGCTGGAGCATCACCCCTTACACCAAAAAAGGTGGCAGGTTCGATTCCCAGTCAGGGCGCGCACGGGAGGCAACCAATTGATGTTTCTCTCCCACGTTGATATTTCTCTCTCTTCCTCTAAAAAAAAAAAAAAAAATTTCAGTACAAAATGTTGTTGGTAAATCTCCATTCAAGCCATTCCTACCATTGGTGTGGGGCATGGGGAGAAAAAGCTCGTCGGGGAGAGGGTGGTTGGTGTAGATGCAGGTCCCTGCTTAGCTGAGGTGGTTGGGGGGTGGGAAGTCCCTCTCGGAGCTGACTAGGATGTATGCTTAGGGTGGGAGCAAAGGTGGGGCCTCCTTAGAGGAGCTGGGAGTGGAGGTTCTGAGGGCTGAATGACCGTTCAGGCAGCCCCAGCTACAATTCCTTCCACAATCAGATTTACTTCCTGCCTTAGGGCCAGGTCACGCACCTCCCCTTTGATCCACTTAGCAAACATTTATGAGTCCCTACTTTGGGCCCGACTAGGCTGGGAGGGAAGATGAGGCCCTTGCCTTCAAGAAGTTCACAGCCCAGAGGAGGAGACAGATAAATCAAACCATAATTATCATGTCAGTTTGCATTTAATTCCTGCACTGCAGCCTGGGTAATTTCTTTGGTATTTTGCCCCTTATTTTAGTATGTCAACAGCTGAAGAAACAAGAGTAATTTCAGCACAGTGCTGTGGTTACTGGACCAACAATACAGCTGGATATAAGGCTGTCTGGATGAGTGTGGGGGAGGAGGGGCGAAGTGGGGTTCCCAGAGGACTCTGGATGAGGTGCACCAGGAAGGGTGTCCAGGCACATGCACCCACAGTGTGGCGTGCTTTTCTACCACGGACACGTTCTTATGAAGAAAGTGTATGTTAATGGTAGCAAACTAAGAAGTGAATTTAAAATAGGGAGCATTGCCACCCAGAAAGTCACTGCTGGCATTTTGGTGTATATCTTTGCCAGAGCTTCTCTAATTTTAATGCTCAGACAAATGCTCCAAGGAACTGTCAAAATACAAATTCTGATTCAGTTGGTCTGGGATGGGGCCTGGGATTGTTTCTAAAATGGTCCCAGCTGATGCAGATACTGATGGGTCTCCAAATTCACTTGAGCAAGGTTGTAGACAAGATGTGTGTGTGTGTATTCTGGTTTATTTCCAACTTTTCAGTTTTATGAACAGCCCTGGCCCAGCAGCTCAGTTGGTTAGAGCATTGTCCTGATATGCCAAGGTTGTGGCTTCAGTCCCTGGTCAGGGAACGTACAGGGAGCAACGAATGAAAGCATGAATAGGTGGACCAACAAATTGATGTTTCTTCCTCTCTCTCTCGCTAAAATCAATTTTTAAAAAAGTATTATGAACGATACTGCAGTGAATCTTTGCTCATAGATTAAAAATTATTTGTCTGCTTGTTCCCTGTATATAAATTCCTAAATGTGTATCACTGGGTCAAAGGTAAAGCATTATTTTAAGCCTTTTGATAGATAATGCAATTTCTTCTCCACAAAAGTGGAACCAGCACAGATCCCCACTAGCAATATGAGCGCCCAATTCCCCACACCAATATTAACACACAACTATTGCCAATTTGACAATAACACCTGATCTTTTTTCCCCAAAATGCATTTCTTTGATTAATAGTGAGGTTCTGTAGATACAAAACAAAACAACAACAAACCAAAAAAGGAAACAAATTTAGCCCAGCCGGAGTGGCTCAGAGGTTGAGCATCAACCCAGTGAACCAAGAGATCACGGATTCCCAGCCAGGACACACGCCTGAGTTTCGGGCTTGATCCCCAGTAGGGGGCGTGCAGGAGGCAGCTGATAGACGTTTCTCTCTCTCTATCCCTCTCCCTTCCCCCCCCTCTAAAAAAATAAATAAAAACATTTTTTAAAAAATTTTAAAAATTAACAGAAAAAGAAAATTAGGCTCTGTGTCTTCCACACTTTCATGAAATTTGTATCGCTTTTGTAAATTACCTATTTTGTGTCCATGCCCATTTTTTCTATTAGGATATTTACTTTTGTTCTTACTGATTTGAAAGACGCTCTATCTATTAGGGATTTAACGCTTTGCTTTTTACAAGTATTTAGTGTGGTGTGCTTAAGAAAAGGCGAGTATTTAGATAAGGCTGGGATAAAGGGTTCAAGGAGAGGTGGGTCAAGTGTCAAAGAAGAGCAGGAGGAGTTTAAAATTGCAGCCTGGCACCACTGAGGATGCTGAGAGGCTGCACCAGCACCCGTTACATTACAGCTCTCATTCTGGAAAGTGGGATGGCTGCCCCCACCCGACAGCACCTCCTCCCCTCCAGCAGGGCTGGATG